CCACAGCCCCCCATTTTCTTAATGAGAACGGGGTGAGAGACAGTGTCGAAAGCCTTCCGGAAGTCCAGGAGGACGATGTTCACTGCTACCCCTGCATCTAAGGATCTGGTGATCTGATCATAAAAGGCCACCAGGTTGGTCTGACAGGACCTGCCACTGATGAACCCGTGCTGATTGCCCCTAAGCATGCAGTCCCCTGCTGTCCCCTCCTGGATGTGTGCCAGAATAATTTTCTCAAACAGCTTGCCTAGGATTGAGGTAAGACTAACTGGCCTATAGTTTCCCAGGTCCTCCTTCCTCCCTTTTTTGACATCTTGGAAGCTTACAAAATACAAGGCCCCCTGGGCTTCTACTTGTGTCACGTTGTCTCTCTGTAATCTGTGGGTAGCAGAGACATAGGAAATACTGAAGGATCTTTCTTTCCAAGCATCTATATTAGAGATGGCCCTTCCCCATGCTTATGCTGCCTCTGGGGAATATTACAGCTTCAAGGAGCTGGTGAGCTTTTCCCACTGCTGTCTGGCATGGCATCATTCAGAAGACATTCAGCCACCAGACCTCACATGGGCTGTCTTGCCACTCCATGTGCTGGCTGTATGAAAAACAGAGAGGAATATTTGAGGGTTGAGGCAGGAAATGAGCTGACATTAAGTTCAGCACCATGTCTGGCTTGATTTTTTGTCATTAAGCAGAAAACCCACTCCTCCTACCCTAAGTGACCAGTATCTGAACCTTCACTTGCTATAAGAAGGCAGGAGTAATTTGATGACTGAGTTGCCAGCTAGTCAACTTGCTGACTGGCTGGATTGCATACAGTTCGTACCAATAGGCCAGAGAATGTCAGGCAAGTCTGCACTAAAACTCTTCCTGGGCATGGTAATATACATTCATACTTTGTTGGTGAAGCCAGATGTGTAGTAATGGAAAGTATGCTTTATGTCGGCATGTTGGGAATTGGGAAAACTCCAACTTTGATGCAAGTATTCCATCTTGACCACATTATTCCAGGTTTCTCTTCCCTCCTGTGTTTTCACTGTTTAAATGCTGCATTTAGCATTTTTTTTATGGTCCATTTGATCAGATGAGAGAAGAAGAAAAATGCTGAAACTCCTGTTTGGTTACACAGACTGTTAAACAGATTAATCCAAAACTGGTCATTGTAAATACAGATTCTATTAAACAGTTGCTTCAAACTGCATTGGGTCCCACTGGAACGCAACTCTTGCATTTTGGGAAATCAGAAGATGTGCTGTTTTCTACGAGCTGTTTTGTGGCAAAGGGGTAGAAGAATGGCGTTATATTTAAGGCACTGAGATGCAGAAGTTCTTAGTTCACTCTTCTGCTCTGCTATAGATTTGTGTATCATTTAGCTTTCTGTATATGCCTCAGTTTTCCCCAACTTTATAACAGAGAATACTCTATCCCTTGCTTTTTGCTGTTGTGAAGTTAGCTCCATAAATCTTTGAGATGCAGAAGCATCTGGAGAGTTGGGGGTGTGAAATATGGTGGAACTCAGCCTAGTTCTGAATGGATAGGCATTTATATTTGGCACTATTTGATTGGGAACACGGAGAATGCAGAACAAGTCCAGTCCCTGATGTTCACAGGCAACCATTTCCCACAGGATTTTTAATACTTCCCACTTCAAACCCTCATGCACAGTTACAAGGAATGAAACCAGAAACACCAGGGGCACCTTATCACATCCACATGCCTGGCCACTGCAATTGCAGAGGAGCAACTGGGTCTTGGGCAGCCTCCACTCCTCCAAACTTTTCCCTAGGTGTACACGTCAAAGGTCTTGGTGGTCGCAGGACTCAGTACAAGCAAATTCATCAGGTACCTCCCAAGCGTATACCATGATCCAAAGGATTGATGGTTGTCTACGTTCCTTGTGAAGCAGCTTTGGCTGGAGGGCCAGAGACCGATTTAAAGTGTTTTACCAAGGATGGTAAATACCATTATCCCTGCCTTACAGGCAAAGAACCTGAGTCATAGAGAGAAAACGGCTTGACCCAAATATAACCACAGAGCTGGGAATGGGATCCAGAGCTCTTAAATCCTAGTCAAGTGCCTTGTTTCTTCAGCATCATTTTTCTTTCTCCAGAGCAAAATAATGGTTTTGTGTATTCCCCATTTAATGAATTGTGTATTTTACCAGGAAATATGTCCTACAGGACCTGCGGTGAATGACAGATTGCTCAGTTCAACAGCTGAACAGAAAAATAGAGTGAGGGGAGGGAAGCATTTGGACACAATAAAAAATATTAGGTTTTGTTGTCTAAATTACAATAATTTCTGGGGTTCAGTGCCTGCTGTGGTGACTGTTTATTTACGCTTGGTGCATTCATTTTGGACGGTGGGAGAGATCCTTTTTTGAAGGTGTCTTCTGCATCCTGGTTGGTGAATGCTTCAACCCACAAGCTGCTGGTAGCAGTACCCCACCTTTTATTCATTGGCAGTAGTGTAACTCTTGCCTCAAAAAAAACAAAAAACAAAAAAACAAACAAAAAAAAACAAAAAAAAACTTTCCAGCCGAAACTATTCGGCAAATGTGACTGAAAAGTAAGTGCCTGGATAGAAAGGCGATGGAAGTGGCATTTTTCAGCAAACTTTCCATTTGCTAAAATAAATCTCACGTGGCTTTCATTCTGCTGACAGTGTTGGACATATTCTTAGCTGTGCCCTGTCCTCAGAGAAGTAGATAAACTCCTTGTCTTACTATGTCTTACCACTTAAGCTGGCTTTTTCTTTTATTTCAGGAAAGCCACTCACTGAAGGGTAGCTGCTAGAGAGGAGTTGGCTCTGAGAACGGAGACCTTGGAACATGGAAAGATCCCTTGGTTTCATCTATAACCACTGCATTGTTATGCTGTTCCTCTTCAGTTCCCTGAGCTCGCTAGGTCTTGCCCAGTATGGGTACTGGCCATACTCTGGCTACCCTGAGCAACCTGCACAAGAACAACATCCTCAGCGGCCAGCGAATGTCCCCAAGATTCAGCTGCGGCTGGCAGGGCAGAAGAGGAAGCACAACGAAGGGCGAGTGGAAGTGTTTTACAATGGCGAGTGGGGCACAGTGTGCGATGATGACTTCTCCATCCACGCTGCTCACGTAGTGTGCAGAGAGTTGGGCTATGTGGAGGCTGTGTCCTGGCTCCCAGGCTCGAAACATGGAAAGGGAGAAGGTAAGGAAGTGGCTGCCCTGTCCTGTGCTTGCTTGAGTTATTAGGAGTGAGTTCAGAGCTGGGGAAAGGGGCTGGATTGGGAAGTTCAAAGTGTAAAGCCCTTTACATTTCAACAGCAATGCCTGTATGTTACTACCCATGGTCTAAAGAGGCCCTGCCAGAGAGAGAAAAATCTCTGATCCTGTTTGCAGGCTACCTACACTGGTGCTAACTGTCATCGGAGACTTTTGCTGTCTAGACTGTCATTTAGAGATCTCCAATTCGGTGGGTGGTGTTTAAAGTACAGGACTAAGAGATCCGTGTGCTGTTCCTGCCTTGCTCGTGGATGCCCATTTGTGAGCCTCCACTAGCCATTTAATTTCTTGTGGCTTTATTTCCCCCTCCATGAAATAGAATCATATGATGATAGGACTGGAAAGGACCTCAAAAGGTCTTCTAGTGTAACCCCAAGCTCTAGGACAGATCAGCCCTGTCTAAACCATCTCAGCCAAGTTTGTCCAACCTGTACTTAAACAATTCCCCAAGTAGTCAATCTGTTCCTGTGTTTTGCAGCTCTTCCTTCTCCAGGGACAGCAGTCCGCTTTCTTTCTACCTTTAGTCAGTGCTTTGGTGAATCAGTCAGCTGCTCTCAATAGAGCAGCTGCATGAGGCACTAGGGGCACAGATGTTTCATAGTTAGTAGGGTCGGAAGGGACCCGAGCAGATCATGAAGTCCGACCCCCTGCCATGGCAGGAAAGAGTACTGGGGTCAAACGACCCCAGCAAGGTGATTGTCAAGCCTTGTCTTAAAGACCCCCAGGGTAGGAGCCTGCACCACTTCTCTTGGAAGTTGGTTCCAGACCCTAGCCGCCCTGACTGTGAAGTCGCGCCTCCTGATGTCTAGTCTGAATCTCCCCTCTGCCAGCTTGTGACCGTTATTCCTGGTCACTCCTGGCAGTGCTCGGGGCAACAGGGACTCCCCCAATGCCTGCTGGTCCCCTCTGACTAGT